CCTCATGGTTCTAATTGTTTTTTTTAGATATTTTAAGACCTGTGGTATATTGTCTTGGATGTATCGTGTAGAAATTTTTCTACCATGATAAGGGTTCAATGAAAAAAAAATAAAAAAAAAAGGATTTGTTGAATTAATAACTTGTGAAAAATCGGTCTGTAAATTTGAGGGTGTTACATATTGATATCAGAGCATATAGTCGGTTGGCAATATACATTGTTATGGTGCTTCTCATTGTATGGCCATGATATAGCTAGGCTAATTTTATTATTTATATCTTGTATCCTTTAGGAGGGGAGAGAAAATGCCTGTTACTCGTGGTAACTCAGGATTCCAACATGAGCACCTACCACCGCCACTGCCAAATGAGGAGCCTGACTTGGCGGAATTGAGAATGCTTGTAAAAACATTAACAGACAAGGTTCAAGGATACGAACAAGAGTTGACGGAGCTAAAGAGGCAAAAGGTAACTGAAAATGGAGATAGGGCTCATGTTGAGAGTCATGTGGGGGAAGGCAGTTCCTCACATCCTGCCACTCTGAGAGATCATGAGTCTAGAAGGAAGGAAATTAGGCAGGAGGAACAGAGAGCCCCACCGACCATTACTGATGTGTGGGAAACTGTTAGGAAGTTTAACCCTCCTACGTTTGATGGTAACCTTAAACCATCCGTGGTAGAGGAATGGGTGAAGAGACTCGAATCCATCTTTCGAGTAGTCACATGCACCAGCAATCAAAAAGTACAAGTAGCATTAGTGCTCCTAGTGAAAGGAGCAAGAGATTGGTGGGAGACAGCAGGGCCCAGGGATGATTCTACACTCACCTGGGAGGAATTCAAGGAAAAATTATTCAGGCATTACTTTCCATCAGAGTTAAGGTCTGAGAAGGAAGCGGAATTCCATGCCTTTAAGCAAGGGAACCTCGATGAGGACACATTCATTGCTAAGTTTCAGGAGTTATCTAGATACTCCACGTACCTGCAGTATAGGGATGATTCCGAATGGAAGGCTAAGCGCTTATTGGAGAAGGCTAGACCAGAATTGAGGGAACAATTGGCTCATCTAGATATCCGAGATTATGATGAAATGTGCATAAAACTACAAGTAGTAGCTCGCAGTAAGAAGGAGGTCGAGAGAGAGAAGAGGGGTTATTCATATAGTAGACCCCCAACCTACCCTCGACCCACCGGAGGCATTATGAAGAAAAACCATCAGGGTTCGAGTAGCTCATGGAACCAAGGAAGGCAGAAGGGTCCATTTCAAAGGGGCCAAGGACAGAGGAGCTATCATAGTAGTTATCACGGGTCACAGAGGAGCCCAACAGTATCTACCCCTGCCCCGAGTACAGCGAGCTCTCAACAGTGCACTAAATGCGGGCGTCGTCATTTCGGACAGTGTGGGTCTGTTACATTTGTGGGAAACCCGGTCACATTGCAAAGTTTTGTGGGGACAACCAGGGCTCAAATATGAAGAACCCTTCCCAACATCCTACTGTCTCTGGCCGTGTGTTTGCTCTTACTCAGGACACCATGAACTCCCCAGATGCCATTAGAGGTAACATCAAAATCCTTCATCATGATATTGTTGCACTATTTGATTCGGGTGCTACACACTCTTTTATTTCTGAAACTTGTGTAAAGAACCTTGATTTGCCTGTGTGTATTTTACCTTTTGATATGAATGTGTCTACTCCTGCGGGAGAATCTGTAAGGACTGCTAAGGCATGCCTTAACCTAGTAGTCGAGTTTAAAAATAGGAAAACAACTATGGACTTAATTATCCTACCACTGAGAGGTATGGATGTAATTGTGGGAATGAATTGGATGGCTGCAAATGGTGCTATCCTAGATTGTAGAGAGAGGAGTGTGTCTTTATCTTCTTTGTCGGTGACCCCAGTCGAGACTCAAGATCATGTTTTCTTGTCGGCGGCGCAAGTTGATAGATGTATGAAGAAGGGTTGCCAGGCCTACATGGTTTTCTTCTCTATCCAAGCTGAGATTGATGAAGGCGTGAAGAATATCCCAATTGTCAAAGAATTTGCGGATGTATTTCCAGACGAAGTCTCCGGTTTACCCCCAAAGCGCGAGGTAGAGTTCTCAATTGAATTGGTACCCGGTACAGGGCCAATTTCTAAGGCTCCTTATCGGATGTCCCCTTCAGAGTTAGCGGAACTGAAAAAGCAAATTGAAGAGCTACTTGAGAAGGGTTTCATCAGACCGAGTGTTTCACCTTGGGGATCTCCAGTCCTTTTTGTAAAGAAGAAGGACGGAAGCCTCCGATTGTGCATTGATTATAGACAATTGAACAAAGTAACCATCAAGAACAAATATCCACTTCCGAGAATCGATGATTTGCTGGATCAGCTTGTGGGATCCGCAGTTTTCTCAAAGATTGACTTAAGGTCAGGGTACCACCAATTGAGAGTGAGAGCAGAGGATATACCTAAGACAGCATTTCGGACGAGATATGGGCATTATGAATTCATGGTGATGCCGTTTGGACTTACGAATGCTCCTGCGGTATTCATGGATTACATGAATAGGATCTTTCGACCCTATTTAGATAAGTTTGTAGTAGTGTTTATTGATGACATTCTTATTTATTCAAAGGATGAGGAGGCTCATGGTGAACATTTAAGAATCGTCTTGCAAGTTTTGAGGGAACATAAGCTTTATGCCAAATTAAACAAGTGTGAATTTTGGCTCCAAGAAGTAAAGTTTTTGGGCCATGTTGTGTCCAGAGACGGAGTTGCGGTGGATCCTAGCAAGATTGATGCAGTGATGAAGTGGGAACAGCCAAAATCTGTTACAGAGATACGAAGCTTTTTAGGTTTAGCAGGTTATTATCGTCGCTTTATTAAGGGATTTTCGCAAATTGCGATGCCCTTAACTAAGCTGACTAAGAAGGATGCCCCATTTATTTGGACTGACAAATGTGAAGCTGCTTTCCAAGAATTGAAAAAGAGGTTAACCACTACTCCAGTATTGACTATTCCTAACCCTGTGGTGCCGTACACTCTGTACACTGATGCTTCTTTAAAGGGTTTAGGATGTGTTTTGATGCAAAATGACCGAGTGGTTGCCTATTCCTCCAGACAGTTGAGACCACACGAGGAAAATTACCCTACTCATGATTTGGAGTTAGCTGCAGTTGTGTTTGCTCTGAAGATATGGAGACACTACTTGTATGGATCTAAGTTTCAAATCTTCAGTGACCATAAGAGCCTGAAGTATTTATTTGATCAAAAAGAGCTTAATATGAGGCAGCGACGATGGATGGAATTTCTAAAGGATTATGACTTTGAATTACATTACCATCCGGGTAAGGCTAACGTGGTAGCTGATGCCTTAAGTAGAAAGACTATTCATGCTGCACATTTGATGGTTCATGAATATCATTTATGGAACAGTTTTCATGATGTTCCAGTAGATGTGATTGAACATCAAATGGCCGCACTCCAGGTAGCAGACTTTGAGAGCAAATTCTGGGAAGATCTCAGAGTCTCACAGCAGAGTGATGACTACTTAAGGAATATAAGGAAGGAGATAGTGGTAGGTAAGGCCCCAAATTTTACCATCTCTGAGGACACAGTGATGAAGTATAAAGGTAGAGTTTGTGTACCTAATGATCCAAGATTGAGGAATATCCTTTTAGAAGAAGCTCATAGGAGCAAATATACAATTCATCCCGGTATAACTAAAATGTACCATGATTTGAAGCGAGGTTGGTGGTGGCCAGGAATGAAGAAAGATGTAACTGAATTTGTTTCTAGATGTTTAACGTGTCAGAAGATAAAGATAGAACATCAGAAGCCAGCTGGAACACTGCAACCGTTAGATATTCCAAAGTGGAAATGGGATGATATTTCTATGGATTTCATCACTGGACTGCCAAGAACACCCTCGAGTAAGGATGCTATTTGGGTGATAGTAGACCGACTCACCAAATCAGCTCACTTTTTGGCGATCAAGTTTACCTCTACATTAGAGAAATTTGCTGAGATATACATTAAGGAGATAGTTAGACTTCATGGTATACCCTCTAGAATTGTGTCAGATCGTGACCCAAGGTTCACTTCAAACTTTTGGGGTGCGCTACAGAAGGCTATGGGTACCAGACTGAGTTTTAGCACCGCATACCACCCCCAAACAGATGGACAAACAGAGAGGACGATCCAGACTTTGGAGGACATGTTGAGAGCTTGTGCCATTGAACTACCAGGTAGTTGGGATAATCATTTGCCATTAGCTGAATTTGCTTATAATAACAGCTATCATTCTAGTATTGGGATGGCGCCTTATGAGGCCTTGTATGGAAGGAAGTGTAGATCGCCTTTGTGTTGGACAGAATTAAGTGAGAGGAGTATCATTGGTCCAGAAATTGTAGAGCAGACCACCCAGAAGATTGCAATGATTAAGCAAAAATTGCTAACCGCTCAGAGCCGACAGAAGAGCTATGCTGATAAGAGGAGACGGCCGTTAGAGTTTGAAGTAGGAGATCATGTATTTTTGAAGGTTTCTCCAGTGACAGGCATTGGTAGATCCATTAAGGCAAAGAAGTTGACACCTAGATTTATGGGCCCGTATGAGATCTTGGAGCGAATTGGATCTACTGCATATAGAGTTGCATTACCTCCACAGATTGCAGGTATCCATAATGTGTTCCACGTATCACAGTTGAAGAAGTACAACCCGGATCCCTCCCATGTTATTGAACCTGAAGAAGTAGAATTGAGGGAGAATTTGACCTTTAGATCCGAACCGGAGCGAATTGAGGACTTTAAGGACAAACAACTACGCAATAAGACCATCCGACTCGTGAAGGTGATTTGGAAGGGTGGAGCCCTAGGTGATGCTACTTGGGAAACCGAGGAGAGTATGAGGCGAGATTATCCACATTTATTTGCTTAGGTACATAGTTTCTATGCTTATCTATTAAATTTTGAGGACAAAATTTCTAAAAGGAGGGGAGAATTGTAACATCCTGATTTTTTATATAATAAAGAAATTGTGGAATTTAGGTTTTGAGAAAAAAATGATAATAATAGGAATTTATATTATTTGAGGTTATTTAGAAATAATATTATGGTTAGGTATTTAATTATGAATTTAAAAATTTAAATTTAAAACCACATAAGCAATATTTAGTTAAGATATAATACATAAATAATTTTTTTTATGTATGTGTTGAAAAAAAAAAAGAGAGAAGGTAGAAGGAACAAAAAAAAGGGGGTGGAAGGTTGTTGTTTCTAAGTCCCACATTGGTTAGATGAGGGAAGAGAAGAGGTGCCTTCATGTATAAAAAGGAGGGGGTGTGTGCATTAGGAAGCATGAGAGGCTAAGATGCAATTTAGAGAAAATTGCAACTTTTGGCCCAAAGGTTTGAATAATTAAATTCAAACCTATAGTTTTTTTTAATATAATTTTGGGACTCACAATCCCATTTTTATATTATTTTTCTCTCTTCCTCTCACGTTGCTCGGCGTTTTCTCGCAAGGGGGGATTATTTTCTTTTTCTTCAGGTATGTTCTAACTTTCCTGTTTAGATTAGCATTTAAAAATTTATTTAATTACAAAATTAATTTTATAGTTATTTTCTAAATAATATTAGCTTTCTAGTGATATGATTATTTTGTAGGATAGAGTAAATATTTTGATTAGGATTTTTCTATAGGATAGTTAATCTGATGATATGATGGATTAAAAATATAGGTTAAAATTCTTAGGGATATAATAAATATTATAGAATATTTTCTTGAGGTTGAAACTCATGTTTAAGAATTTTTGAGTTAAAATCTAGATCTATATGGTTGAATTTATGTGGAATCTGAGACGTAGGGATAAACCTATGATTATTAAATATTTATTTAAGTATGAATAGGTATTTTTGAGGTTATAGAAAGGTGATTTGAGGCTTCAGGATAATTCTAAAATTTTTAATTTATTTTTGGATGAATTTTTAGAATATAGAAGGATGAAATTGTGATACTAGAAGTGAATTGAGGATAAAAAAAATAGTTCATTAGGGTACGAGAATTTTAGAAAAGAATTTGGGAAGTTAAATGAGGCATAAATCTTAAATTAGTGTTAATATGGACTATAGATCTAAGACTTTCTAACTCTTTAAATTAGAGTTATTTATTTTAATGTAAAATTAATATATAGTATTGTGAAATAATTATGTAGATTATATTGACAAAGATAGTGGTGAAAAAGGAGTTGTGAAGGGGAACTTGTTATTCAAGACACAAGGTAACCATTATTAATGTGTTGTGATGAGTGTGTTTGTGAATGGTTATGTGTTGTTTTGTTGTTTGGAAAAATTATGAATTATTGAAAATAAATACTGTATATACTTGTTTGAAATTATTGCCAAGTGGGTTAAAATTTATTTTGTTTATCATGATGAGATATTATTGTTCGGATATATTCCTGTTTGGATATTTGAATGATGCATGACTTGTCAGGGTATTTTAATGTATGGTGTTAATGGAATTTCTGTTCGGTTAATTATTACCACGTGGTAAGCCCTCATTGGACCCAATGAGTGGCGTGTCGCTTGGTCCAACTCACCTTTGGCCGGGTGATTTGGCGTCCGAGCATGGCGAAAGGAGGATATAAGGTGCAGTCATGCAAATTAAATACTTGTTCGGTTTGTTTGAAAGTATTGTTCGGTTAAATGTTTTGTGTGCCCACTTAGCAATCGCATGATTAGTTACATCCGCATGCATCATTACATATTAATTTTTGGTTACTGGGACTTTTAAGTCTCATTCCCCGTGGTTAATATTTTTACAGGAGCGAGTCCGGCCGAGAAAGCACCAGAGGTGTAACTGTGGTGTATGAGACACCATCTTTTACGTTGCCTCTTATTTTAGATTATACAATGTATCTTGTGCCAACTTAGGACATATCTTCTTTGTGAAGCATGTAAACTCTAATCCTTTTTATTAAAAGTATTTATATGACCAAGAGGATTATGTCTGTCCCTCTTGATTTATGATCTGATTTGAATAACATGCTATGAGGATCATGTCTGTCCCTCATGGTTCTAATTGTTTTTTTAGATATTTTAAGACCTGTGGTATATTGTCTTGGATGTATCGTGGTAGAAATTTTTCTACCATGATAAGGGTTCAATGAAAAAAAAATAAAAAAAAGGATTTGTTGAATTAATAACTTGTGAAAAATCGGTCTGTAAATTTGAGGGTGTTACAGATCAAGCTAAGGTCGGCACAATTCAAGAAAACGAAAGTTCTAAGGCCGTGACAACATGTATTAGAGCCACGATTTGAGGGAGTCGCGATTCAAGTAAGTATTTGAGGCATATGATCGAGGAGTTAAAGAAATATTTAGTCATCGAGTTGTGTGGAAAAGAGGTGTGCCACCAGACACACAATACTTGATCAAATGGAAGGGACTGCTAGAAAGCAAAGCAACATGGGAATCTCAAGAGATCTTTGGCAATTTGAAGATCAACTTCGTTCCTACAAAGATGATGCAGTGAGGAGGACGTTACTCAAATAGGTGGGGGAGAATGTGACAAAGTTAGAACTTTCATGAGGTTATAATATTTTAGAAGCTTTTGGAACGATCTAGAACAACAAGAAGGCACTAGAGACTTCTGTAATATGCTGGTATGACCTCGAAAGACCTAGATATGTCTATAATATTGTAGAGAGCACTTAAAGTATCTAGATTATTCTAGAGATATCCTCCTCTTATACATTTTAGAATTCTTCTTGTAAATATCAAGATATTCCTTGTAGATATTTCTATAGAATATTATAGAGATAGAATCTACACCGTTGGATCGAATCAATCCTAACCGTCCATTAAAGAGGTGAGAACTTTCTAGAAGAAGGGGAGGAGCCTGTAAATACCCCTCACCCCTCGTTTATAACTACTCAAGCAAATCAATAAGGCTCTCAAGTTCATTCACTCAAACTTTCTACTCTCTACTTGTGCGACTAGTCCTCTTAAGTCTCTTTACCTACTTTGTGAGTTTGACTGACTTAGTTAAGATCAAAAGGTTGATCAAGTTAAGGCCAGCACGATTCAAGGAAAGGGAAGTTCTAAGGCCGTGACATGTCGCTCCATCCTCAAATCTCTTCTTTCTTCTTCAATATTTGAGACTAAGGTGAGTGATTTTTTATCCATAATATCTATCTATGATCATTTTTTTTCCCATTTTGTTTCATTCTTTGAATATATATAGTATATATGTGAATGTGTTTGGCATTGTTGTGCTCCTCTATTTCTCTACTTTTATCATGTAATTATCACATAATTATTCTTATGAATAATACTGTGTTATAAAAATCTTGTTAGTAATAACTACTACTTTTTTTTTTATAAAAATGAAAATTTAAACACTGGGCAAAATCACCTAACATGTTTGTCTAAAAGCCATTAGACCTTAACAAATGGAGTAGATACCATGTATATACTAGTGATAAATTATATTTTTCACATTATTTTATTTCCCTTTATTCTTAGTTTTTAACACTTATTTTAGGTATTTTGAGCATTATTTAAATTTATTGGACTTAATTTATAATTTTAGGAATAGCTTGTCAATTCCTAATTTTTCATCTTGTTTTTTTTTTCTTATTTTCATTTCCCAGTTGCATCATACTTACATATAGTTTAGTCTCATTTTGAGTTATTAATTCTCTCCTTTATTATTATTTTTTTTGCATTTAAATATATTCTTATAAAATTTTTATCTTACTCACATATATCTATAAACACACATAGACTCACACTATAAGATATTTGCATAATAACTCATTTTTTTATCACTTTTTAGCTTCACCAAACGTGCCTTTACTTCTTTCTGTCTCGCTGTGCAACTTTCAAAAAGGCATTCACTTTTATTTTTTTAATTGATTTTTTTATTACTCTTCTTTCTTTCCTTTTCAGCAACTTCTATATTCCATTTCTCAACATCCAACCATTCAAATCAAGATTCGAGTTCATCATTGCATTCATCTGACTGTCCACATCAAAACCTTAAAAATTTGTTCTAGTTTGTTAAAGTTTTTGCTATTCGAATTTCTCCCTCTTGCCATGGCTGTGTGTTCCTTGAAGCTGCATGAAGATTCAATAATGCTCTCCATATGTAGCTAGGCATTCCTCTTCCCTTAGAGATAGATACACCGATGAGCTGCACTCTCTAATGAGAATTTTCTTCTTCTTTTACCTCTTTAATTCATGAATTGGGACTAAATTTGTTGAGATATTAATGCTATGTCTTTGAATTTATGAATGTATGGCTAATGTGACATATTTGAGGTGTTTGAGATTAATTTTGAATTAGTTTGTATGCTGGACAGATTTAATTGTTATATTCCTTTGTTGAATTAAATTGTTACTTGCCAAATTATATAAGTGAGACACAATTGTGCTTGTTATATTTGTTGGCTAATATTTAAACTTTCAATTGAACACAAATTGTGTTATGGTTGGGGCAAAGGTTAGGGACTATCCAAATTAATCTATCAAGCAATTGGATAATTTTTATAGCATTGAGTTGTTTATTGTTATTAATTGGCCACTCGTGATAATAAGTAACATCGTGTTCAACTTTGGAAATTCAAAGTACCATTAACCTAATTAATTGAAGAGGAATTAAAATTAAAATTAGAAGCAAGGATTCGGTAGCTAAGTCATCTAAGAAAAGTCCATATCATTAATTTTACTCACATTTTTATACACTCTTTTCACTCTATTCATTCTAATTTAGTTCATTAAAATAAATAAAAGAAAAAATTATAATAGCTTTTATTGATTTTACTTTAGATAATTTATACAAACAATTACTTGTTGTTTTATTAGTGTTTTTAACCATTAGAATTTTAGAATAGTAACTCCTTGAAAGATTCAATCTTGATTGACTTTAAATTACATTAAAGTTAATTTTATTAATTTGAGCCTACACAACTAAGGATTATCAACTAGTCAAAACATAGTGTGTTAAATAGTTTGCAATGTCATTTGCATCTTCTGATATCTATACAATTTTAATGTCTCAATCCTCTAAATCAAGCTTTGAATGTCCATAATATCACCCTTATTTGAGTAACTTCTTTACATGATGACGAATATTAGAATTTGAAATATCAAATTTTAAAATACTTTTACCATGATGTAATTTTCATTTATCCTTTAAATAATTTTAACTTTAGATATTTTAATTTAAACTTAAGATTTTTTTTAATGTATGCATTTGTATATGTAAGCCAGTAGTTATGTATATGCGAGGCTACTATGTAATGATGCTTGGTGTCCAAATCTCAGTAATACTTATTTACACGCGCGCCTTTTTTTTATTATTGTGCTTCATTGACAAGGCGGTCAAAGTCAAGCAAATTGATTTTTTCCCTAAGGCCATTATTATTATTATCATTTTCGTACAGCTCTTCCATTCCCCCCCACCCCGGCTTAAGTTCTTCTCTCGTGATTCTAAAATCATTAAATCATAGTCATCCAGAAACTTCATGGAGTGCAGTATCTCAGATTCTATTAGGAATTAGAGATTTATAGATTTGGATTGATTTTATGCCTAGCATTTAATTTTAAAAACTATTTTATAAATAAATTTTTAAAAGTTTATTTTTAAAATAAAACAAAACAAAAATATGTTCAATTTGAAACAGTTGTGTCATTCTCCTGGAAGCTAAGTACTGACAAACTTAAATTTTCTTGTCAGAATTTGGCTAAAATAACAAATACATGGTGTGAGATTTTATGTTTTGCACCCTATATCATTATATTTTATTACACTTGTATACTTAATCACTTGAGATCACTCAAGTGCTGACCAAGATCTAAATATGTTAATTACAAACTTTACAAGCCCATAATAATTGAAACGGTAAGCAATGACCTCAGTATAGCAGCTGTAGTTTTCTCTCCTGAGTGTGAGAGTCTCGTTCGTGTGGAAGAGTGCACTTTCGCCGATGGTTATACCCACTGTACAACTTTTACGGCCTTCAGTGAGGTTTGTCCTTATCTTGGGAGTGTGTGTGCATTGGTGTGGGTGTGTCGTTTATTTGGGTTTTTTGGAGGATGGAGGTAGGTCAAAGTTGCAGGGGGAAAAAGAATAAGGAGGTATTACTGGAGATCAAAACGGAGAAAAAAGACTGAAAGGGTGGGTCTCTGGTTGGAAGGTTAGAAACAGAACAAAACCTGAATAAAGGAGTTGTGTTATCTCCATGATCAAAAAAGGATAGAATGTTGATGAGGAAATCCAAATACATGAGATGGGGAAGCATGGATTCGTTTAGTTTTGATAAAGCGGAGGATTATAATGGAGTTTTGAAAGGTCGACCTTGGGCTGTGCAGGGAGTTATGCTCAATTTGCAACTCTGGGCCGACTACATGATACATAGTGAAGTTGACTTTTCCCGATGTCCTTTTTGGGTGCAATTCCATGGCCTCCTTCACGGTGCCTTTGATAAAGTAAATGCAATCAAGTTGGGGGAAGCAACAAGTGAAGTGATCATGTTCGAAAATCCAACTCTGAATGGCAAAATGACAAGATCTTTTATCCATGCTCGTGTCAACATCAATATTGATCAACCACTTGTCCCTAGTTTCTGGATCTCTCGACACAATCGAAAACCTATGTGGGTGACACTGAAATATGAGAGACTCCAAAATTTTTGTTATCATTGTGGACGTATTGGTCACGAGGGACGTACGTGTAATTTTCAAATAGATACTATGTCTAGCGAGTCTGATGATGAAGAGTTTGGAAGATGGATGAGTACCCAATCAGTTAAAACCATGGAAGAGGTAGTTGAAGTGTATAGAGAAGATTGGGAGGAAGCTGTGCTGCTAAAGGAAGATAAACCACCACCGTCCGACCACCGTAGGGGGAGAAGCGATCAAAATAATCGTGTAAGTGGAAATAACAGAAATAACGGCCTAGAATCAGGACTACATAAGAATTTGAGGCATCAACGGGGTAACGGCATTAAAATTAATGAGGGGATACAA